AGAGAGAAATTTAAGTTTTGTGTCTGTGTTATGAAAAACTTTATTAGTTACAAAGTTTAATGCTTTTCTGATACGGAGCCTCCACTGACCTCATGTTTTTATTCCAGTCGTGTTGAGCACTTGTGAGCTGTGGGAGGTTTATTGAAAGACAATACTCAAGCCTTGAGGCGGAAGACCCCCAGTGTGCAAACATACAAGAGGCAAAGGTCAACTCAACTTCAGAAACAAGTAGTCGCCTTGTCAGAACATTCAAAAAAAAAAAAAAATTGCTTCGCCTTTTAGAAGATTTGGAACTACAGTATCAAATAAAAGGCTACGTTTAGTTATTTTTACCACATCTTTCTGTCTAATGAATATAAATAGTGGTTGTCAAGGCGACCCGGATATGTTGTGAGAGGGGCTTTTGTCTGCAGCGCGGCGTTTGGCATCTCCACTTAATACCAGTTCCTGTGTGGAAACAAAGGAGAGCATGGCCCAGCACTTTGGAGGACAGCTTGGCCTGCCATTTGTCTAATGAGAGATCAGTCACAGCCTTTAACCGAGGGCCATATGTTCATTTGAATACAGCTAGTGTTGACTGGCCTTCAGCGATTGTTATCCTTATTGTGGAGTGTGTTGGTTGTGTGCACATGTGAGGCACAGTTAAGGTTCAGCTGATGAAACGAACCAAACGGAGTAACCTAGTTTATCTAACGAGCTGAGGTTTTGTGGGCATTGGGCAAAGATCAAAACAAAACCTTGAGAAAAATACTGGATTTGAATGTTTGCTTACTGTGGCAGATAAAAGGGAGATCCTTTCTATTGAAGATTTCTTTGTGTTATTTTCTTCTGACGTGTGTGTTTGTATACAGACTGTGGCGACGCTGATGCCCCGTTTCTGTAACAGGAAATCTATTACGTACGGGTAATAGTTGAGGAAGGACCACATTTAGAAGGGACAATTCATGCTGTTCAAGCTAAAGTCTGTTTTAGAAAGTTAGAAACTAGAAACTTTCTAGAAATTATCCGATTTCCTGAAGCTTTGAATAGAAGTAATAATGTAAGTTGATATTATCGATAACTGTATAATGAGTATTGCAGCTGCAGTGATGATGGCTGGCCCACATCACTGGCTAGATTGCTTTTAGTCATAATAATTATAGTAGGACTAAAATCACACACTAGCGATTTGAACTTGTTCCATCTGTGCATAAAAATCTCATTATACTTTCAGTTTTAACTCGTGGTGGTTCAGTTCTGTGCAGTCGGGGGCAACCAGCAGCATCAATATTTCATGTTGTCGACCAGACACTGTGCCTATTAATAATATACAGTCTGCCAGTCCAATGTTAGACTCACAGTACGGTCACTTGCTCTAATATTAGGTAACCCAAATAACACCATTCCATAACCTAAATTCACGTATGCTGTTGGAGACTGCGGAGAAGTCATTATGGACGGGAAGGAAGCTGAGGGACTCTCAATACTTTTGCCTGTCAAATAAATGAGTTTGTTAATAAATTCTTTGAAGCTCCTCGACACAAAAACCCAAACCCTAACAATTAGAACATTAGAACACAAAGAAATACAATGATAAAGGTTATCTCGCTTTGTCTTCTTTTGTTCTATCTGGAAGAACTCGGCAACACTGCAAAAAGTGAGGAAAAATAAGTCAAACATTTCTAAAATTTCTCTCAATTTTAGAACATTGTGACTGCTTTAAAAACAAGATTTGCCAATGGGACGAAGCTAAATGATCTTGTTTTAAAAAGATACAAGAAATGTCTCCCTTGGAATGAGAAAATAAAGCAACAGTTCTTGAAAACCACTCGATTCAAGCAACTATTACCTCATATTTTATAATTTTTGCAGTAATTAAACGGAGGGTTACAACTTACAAGTGTGTGAGATCGCTGCTGCCTAACCCGAATCCAAACCTCGTCTCATTTCTCGACATTAACTTTTAGTCTTGAACCTGCGTTTGCGTGTTTGTTCTTTTAGGGGGAAAATAAGGCAAAACTTGTCCCGAATCAATCAATATGATAATCATTGAAAGCCAAATTCAGATTACAGGGAAAAGCTGAAAGGATATTCATGAACTATTACCAAAGTGGTCAAAACCATTCATCACCTGACGGCACATGTTTGTCGAGCTTCTTTTATGTCTGCGTGATGACTGATTACTTCTGATGGCGTCTGGCTCTGAAAGTACCCTTTAACCTCTCCATCCATAGTGTCTGCTGCAGCCCTGTTGTGACTGGAATAGTAATGTTATGAATGCCAATGCAAATGAAAGAGTTGCAAAAAGAGAGCCGCCCCTCTGTGCCGGTTAAGGACAAAGCACTTGTCTGCGTGCTCTCTGCTCCAGACCCACTCTCCACAGCGCTCTGCCTCCTGTCGACAGTAACAATGTTGTCAACATCTTACTGAAAGGAGTCTGTCAACAAGCACTTTCGCCTGTTTCACTGCTGAATTAACAGGAAGCCACTGGAGGGGGATCAATGCAGTGGAAATATGTGGCCTTATGCTTCTGCTACAAGTTTTTATATTTTCCCTTCTGGTAGAATGTTGGAGTGAATGGAGGTTTACGGCTAAAGTGTAAAGCAGAACTTGTCCAAAACAGATTTTAAGTTTAGTGTGTCATTATATATTCGATCACATACGGTGTATACTTGATTACTATATTAATTTATTACAGCAACTACAACTGTTACTCCTACTGACATATGACTATTGCTTCTATAGTACTATGAAAACAACTACAGTTGAAACTGGCTGCTTGTTTATGGCAACAATAATAATCACTATTAAACTGAACTGTGCCAGACAAAAAAACTTGCCTCTTTTTCACTTTACTGTCCCCAACGCAAGACAAGAGCTCTGGTGTGTACCATCTTCTCTGTTTGGTGCACACTGGTAGTCTTGCAGTGTTTCCAATGTGGTTTTACTGCAAATGGCGAATAAATTCTTGAATCTTGAATAAGAGAAGACCACCCTGACTTGGCCAATCAGAGCTGATTCTGACAGGGCTCTTTCTGACAAGTATGAAAGATAACATGTTTTCGAATAGGTGGAATGTTCACAAACTTTTCTGTTGGTACAAACAAAATGTATTATTCTGCGCTTTTTTGGAAATGTTTTATTCGTTCTTCTTCTACTAAACTTCTTATATGGCCACACCTACTTCATTCCCACCAGATAGTGGCCCCATTAATTTTGACTGGTACAGAAAGTAAGTAAGTAATCTTTATTTATATAATGAATTATTCAGACCAAGGTCCAGACCACCCGAAGTGTTTCAGAATGTTCAGAGTTCAGATATTTTCACATTCTCACCACACATGGTCATGATGCAAGCGAGACGCCGAACACACTGGAGCATCAAAGCCCCTAACTAACACCATCCATTCTTGTGGTAGGGGAAGCAGGAGCACCCGGAGAAAACTTAACTTCCAATTACATTAACTCGGTGGACCCTTTTATAAATTTCACTCGCGAGGATGCTGAGGAGAGTGAACTCGCCTTTCTAGATTGTAAGGTCATCATACTGGAGAACGGACAATTAGAGACTGAGGTCTTCAGAAAGTCCACTCACACTGACCAGTACCTGGCCTTTGATTCAAATCATCCGCTACAACATAAACTCGGGGTCATTAGAACGCTTCAACACCGAGCCCACCAGGTCCCCACGAGCTCGGAGGGAAAGAACAGAGAAACCAAACATGTTCAGAGAGCACTTTCCAGATGTGGCTACCCCAAGTGGTCTTTTACTAAAGCCCAAAGGACGAGAAAGGCCAGAGACACAGTCCAACAGACAGAAGAAAGTAGGAGGAGAGGGGTGTCCTTACCGTATGTGGCGGGAGTTTCAGAGAAACTACAAAGAATCTTTAGGCAACACAAAATCCCTGTGTATTTCAAACCTTTCAACACGTTAAGACAGAAATTAGTGCATCCCAAAGACAAAACACCCAGATACAAACAGAGCAATGTGGTGTATTCAATTAAATGTAGTGAAGAGGAGTGCACTGACCACTATATTGGAGAAACCAAACAGACTCTACAGAAACGACTTTACCAACATCGTAGAGAAAACTCTAGTGGGCCACAGTCGGCTGTTCATCTCCACCTCAAGGCCTCCAACCACACGGTGGATGACACAGAGGTTAAAATTCTGGCTCGGGAGAAGAATTGGTTTGAGAGAGGGGTGAAAGAAGCCATTTTTGTGAGGAAACAAAAACCTTCTCTTAACAGAGGAGGAGGGTTAAGATTTGTTTTGCCTCGCATCTATGACGCCATCCTAAAAACAACGCCCTAACTTGGGACAAGGTCAGTGACATGCTAATGAGTTAGGAGGGGTGAAACCTGCACTCCACTTGAGCATCCCAGCAGACAATAGGTCTGTGACATGCTAAGGAGTTAGGGTCGTTAGCCTCAGCAGGGTCGTTAGACCTGCTCCCCTTCTACATCAAGCAGACCTGAGATTGTTCACGAGTTAGTATCAGGATTAGGGTGTGGCTTACCACACCCATAGGTTATAAATCTCCAACGCGAGGTCCGAGAATTCATTCCCTGAAGAAGTCCCCAGGTTGAGGACGAAACGTCGGGAAAACTTGCTAAGAAGTACAGATGATGGGTGAGAAACCTTCCTTTGCTTTGACTAATCCCTGTACGACTGAGGGCTTACACAAACTTCCAATTACATGTTCATTAAAATTATAGAACAGATTCAATTATATTATAGTTGTTTTCCTGATGTTACATATAATTCAAAATGACGTATAACATGCCATAGTAGCCCATTTCCATCTAATACTTTAAAGTGAAACTAGAACATGCTTTAGTAGCCCATTTCGAACAAATGCTCCAAGTTAATGTAATAATGATAATTGAATATAATTCCTGGGGCCACTAAAAATGGTCTCGTGGGCTGGATTTGGCTCTAGGGCTTGAGTTTGACATGCCTGGACTATAGACTACTGTATATATACACACAGAACAGTTATGAGACTTGACTTTCTTACCATCGGTGACTGTGAGGGCCACGTCTTTGTTCAAGTGATGAGGACGACTCTGGTGGACTGGTGCGGCTCTCCTCTTCTCATGAGCTGCACACACAAAGGGGAACATGGGGTCAGGCCAGTGTTAATGGGATGAATAAAGAGCGAGAAGAAAGAAAAGTGCCACATTTGTCATTGTAATTCATTTAGGCCAAATACAGCTGCAGCTTGGGAGAAAATCAGATTCTAGGGCGCTTAAAATGACCGCCTTGGCATTTATTATGCGTGAGGAGCTCCCAACAGCGGTGTAATCTGGGGCCATTTTTTTCTCTATATTTCACTTCACAGCTCCGGGCAAAATTATACATGCGCTGTCTTTAGAAGTGCTGGTGCAGTGGTTTGTGTTTGGACAGGTACAATTTGCATATTATGTCTCGTGGGGTCTTAAATGTACTTTCTCACTTGGTAATTGACCTTTATTAAAAGAGAAGACACTTGCAAGGCTCTGTTCAGCTCCTGTCGTGACCTTGAAGAAAACCCAAGCGCTCATACATTATTCACTGAAAAGTAGTTTCACATTCTTCGGTCTACACATGGCTGACTTTGACTCACAACGCAACTCAAACCAGGTCTGTAATGACCAAGAATACATTATGTCTGCATTTCTGGATTCAAATGAATAGATTCAAATGACTCAAAATGTCCATAATGAGAATAGTGTTGAACAAATGAATTAAGGTTTATTGCTAAGTATATTTATTAAGTTTATATGGAGCATTTTACAGACCAAAGCACACTGCAATTATTGAGAGTCCAGATATTTTTCCATTCTGACAAAAGCAAGATACCAAACACACTGGAGCATCAAATCCTCCAACCCCCAATTCACTTACATTCATACCCATTTCACACGTTTTTAGAGGTAGGGGAAATGGGAGCACCCGGAGGAAACCACAGACGCAGACACAGAGAGAACATGCAAACTCCACACAGAAAGGCCTGGAGGTGGAATCGAAGACAGGACTCTAACCACTGCGCCACCGTCAATGCAATGAATTCATCATAAATTCAAACGTTGGAAATCTTTAATTTTGTGTCTATGACTTCTTTTAATTGACTAGGGTCGTCATATGTATTGAAAATCAGATAAGAAAATCAAAACTAGATACAAATTTCATTTATTACAAACAATAACAAAAATAATACTAATTTTAAAATGTTTTTTATTTTCCAAAAAGAGTAATCATAAATTATTTTTATGGTATGCAAAAAGATAGCAAAAACGTACACTATTCCTGTCCATTTTCGACCCCCCATACTACTAGTGCTACTGCTGCTGATTGTGCTGCTAATAATACGACTGCATTTGCATGTTATTAGGTCACTGGGTAAGAATAACATGGGCCCAATTAAATCGGCTTGTATTGAAGTTTCATGGTGTAAAAATATTCAGCAAGGGCACCGCGGCTTTTGACTGACAACACTTTGGAGCAAAGTTCAAAGCTTTGGCGCTGACAAATTCAAATCTGGTGAGAGAAAGAATAGGAGCGAATATAAAGAAAGAGAGAGACATCTACGGAAGCGTGAACAGGTCTTGCCAGATGATGGTGAAATCCTGTCTCATTTTGACAGGGTTTGGGGATGGAACTGCCCCAGGAGTATTGTGCACCATATTGCCAATAGACGCTGAGCAGGACTGACAGTAGCAGGAGCACATGTACCCCCCACCCCTCATCACACTGTCTGTCTGATTACACCCCCAGAAGCCAATCAAACCTGGGGAGAGGACAGGTCAGGCTGAGGGAGAGCTCCTGCTGATACTCGAATCAATATTTTGCTCAGGGAGACGCGATCATGGAATACTAAAAAATAACAGTTTGTGATGAATATATCTTGCACTTTATAACTATTGTTAGCAACTTTTAGAATTCTGTATCTATTAGTATGTATGTATGGATGGATGTGATTCTGCTGCTGGACACCTGAATTTCTCCTACGGGGGATCAATATAGTATCCATCTATCTAAAGCTGAACAGTGTTGTGCGTGAACACTGTGGTGACAGTTTTTGGAGTAATTACATTAAAACCAGCCGCAGCAAATACACGGACGTCAAAGGCCTTTTATCAATGCAGACAACCTTCTGACGCCATGCTGAGCTTTGTGAAGGTCCCTGCTGTCTGTCACACCCTTGTGTCTTTCCGTCTTGCATCTGTATGACCTGCATTTCCACCATTGTCTGCAAGGCAAGTTTATTTGTATAGCACAATTCATACACAAGGCAACTCAAAGTGCTGAACAAGATAGCATTAAAATATCTAGTATAGTCCTGCTTCAGTTTTTAAAAAACTTTTCACAGCTTGTTTTAGAGTGTGATGAATCCCCAGGGCTTCGAAGGGAAGCTGATATGTCTTAATATACTGTATATTTTCATTTCGCCACGATGCCTCAAATCCCGTCTGACTATAGCCATGCTGTTGTTCGCTGTTTCCAGTGGTATCTGCTAGGCTAATGCTGCTAGAATAATGCCGGTTGTTTTGGTGCTTTGCTGGCGTCAGAGCCTGTGCTAGCTTTAGCCAATCAGCGCCGGGTTAACCTCAAGTCCCACCAGGGCCCAACGGAGTACCTAGCATGGAGGGACTCCGTTGGACCCCGTAAAAGTTCCTGTAAATGGCCCTGTGGGGGAAGTTCCTGCTGTGGAGACACGCACCGACGGGGCTGGCCCTGGAAAATTACCCCAAAGTTCCTATGGTGGAAACGAGGCTATAGAGCAATTGGTCCATAAGGGGCAGATGACCAATGTCCATAAATGTTGATAAAGTCCATAAATGTTGATGAATTCCATAAATGTCATTGAATATCGATTGTCCTGGATCATCACCACTGCCTTTAGACCCTCCTGCTTCGGCAAGGAAAAACTATAAAAGTGAGAAACCTCGGGGAGGTCCACATTGAGGGGGGGAAATCCGCTCCCATAGCTATAGATCTAGGGCTCAGGTTGTAGAACAAGGTCTGAGGCCACGTGGTGCAGGACTGAGGCACCTCCCAACAACGCGAGGGTGCAGCCCATGAGTCCCGGCCGGGTTCAGCGGTCCCATCGTCACCCCATGAAAGGGGCAATGGAACAGAGGGTGAATAGCAATGAACAGACAACAGCTGCAGTCACAATGATGAATGACAGATAAAGTCAGATAGCATCTGACTATCTATAATTGGATAGCACAGGTGCCTCTTTGTCTCTACCGGCTGCTGAGTGAATAGATAGTGACTTTTTTTTTCAACAATACAGGAACGTTTAGGGTATTATTATTATTATTTGCGTTTCTTACTTTTACCTCTAATGTTCCAAAGTGCTCACTCATTCCAGACCTTACAGATGCCCAGTCTGAAACACATCCAGAGCACATTAATTTTGGTTATGATTATTAACTTAGAGCTGCCATATTTTCCTCCAAGCAAGTGCCAGTTTAATTTTGCCATGTATGAGTTTAGACATTTCAATTGGTCTACCAAAACTGGAATTTGAAATAGAAATTGTTTGAGCATCTGGATAAATGGCAAAAACCCACAATGTTAAATGAAAATCATTTTAATTTCACTTTTACATTCCACAGAGCTCTGCCACTATGTCTGTTTTGACTTAATGCTGTAACCACAAGACGACAAAGGAGGAACATTATATAGAAGAACCGGCACGCTATATTTTGTTTTAATGTTTCACTCCCTACTTTACCTGCCGGCTCTTTCTAAGCCAAGAAATGTGTGTCTGAGCTTGGAGAAACCGCAGAGCTTCATACCTCTGTCGTAAAAGTAACCACAGTCCCTGATGGAGGAGGTGGCTCTGCAGAAGAATCACCACAAGACCTGGACACTTTAGGTGCAAGGGAATATTGAAAACACTCAAGGCAGGAACTCTTACACCAAGATAATATTGACCTACCGATATATAGTCTTTATAAGGCTGACTTTGGGACTTATAAACCAAGAGTGGCAATGACTAACCAAACAAACTGACCTAAACATTTAATACCAAGGAATAAATTAGGTCTGAAATCAAGAGATCTGAGAAGACATCGACCGATGTAGGGTTTCTGTGGTCTATACCAGTTTTCTTATAGCTTTAGATTAAAGCCTTTTAAAAGATATATAATTTTCTTTTTTTGTTTTACGTTTGATCATTATTTAGAGTATAATATATGATGTACAGTAGCTGGGAAAAATAAGTAGATCCAGATGGGAAGAACGATAATCAAAACCTATATCGACCAATCACTCATTCTGAGCCGCCATTAAACATTAATCCGTGTGATACCAGGATGGTATCTGTAAGCACTAAGCAACAGAAGTTATAGAAAATATTGCGGAAAATGTGCTTCTTTGTCAACCCCATGTACACTACCAACCAGTGACAAGAATTTGCTCATTGTGTTTGGGTAAATTTGATGAAGAATATGAAATACCAGAATAGCATGGAAAAAGAGCTATAGGGAAAACACAATCAGATGCCAAAAAGATCTCTACAAGTGGATTTGACTGTGGGCATTCCATCACCAGAGCAACAGGAGAGACCTGAACTCAGAAACACTGAGCATGCAAATCACTCTGAAGACAACAAAGAGAAAGGGGACCTGTTTTGAAATGCAGAAGCTGAAATTTGTGTAGGCACCGCACAGGAGTTTGTCTGCTGCAAAATATTGACTGGCAGTAAGAAGTTTTCTGGGTTGTGTGTCAGAATTGTGTTGCTGAATAAGTGGGAATGAGTGCTGCAGTAGAATAGTCTCCACATACATACTGTACACCTCCAGTTGCACCCTTGCACACCTCCGCTGACACTCTGATGTGGACAGATGCAGTGTGTGGGTGTAGTAGTAATAGCAATAGTTGGAGGAGGAGATCGACGGTCGCTCTGGCCTACTTTCCTCCATCACACCGCTACGTTCTCCTGGGAGCAGCGGAGGTATGGAAGAGGTTCAGCCACGCTTGGCCTGTCACAGCAACATGCCCAAGACATTTCCAAGGGGGAGGGGA